GCAAACTACACGTGTGCTTCCATACCACAAAGGGCTTCACGAGGTTTGGCAATACAATCTACTCCTGTTAACCTTGTAATAATTCTTACATTGTTGTTGTATTTTTTTTTTCCTCCTGTACTAGGGATAAAACGCAGGGCCCTCACAGTGAACTACATCCCTAGCCTTTTTCAGTTTTTAATTTTGAGGTAGGTTCTAAACAGTCCAGGCTGAGCTCACACTGGGAATCCTTCTGCCTCTGTCTCCCACACTGCAGGGATTATGGGTGTGTGCGTGCCACTACACTACCACTTGACTTTTCATTTTTATGTATCTTGCTAGTTATTGAGGTTCTTAGACGTAACAAATATGCACAGGATGAATAACGCACATCCTTATAATGCTGCTCCAAAGCTATCGAGTAAGGACATATTCAATATCCTTCATTAAGAGATGTTTTCTTTCAATCTAAACAAAAATCATGCATTTAGCTACATAAATGACTTAATTTATGCCTAGTTACAAGAGCTGAAGATAATTAGCTTTTTTTTCTTGTGGTGTTTGAAATTAAAAGGACAAAAAGTCATACAGATATGAAATACTTTTCATTTCGCTTAAATACACAGCAAAGAAACTACAAGGAGAAAAAACTGAATGAGTTTACAGAGACTATATCCTAATAGAGACCACAAGAAAAATATCTTGGTATAGAAGCCCTAAAGTAAGGGGAAACAACAAATAAAGCATTAAGAAATCATGTACAACAATGCACTTTTTACTCAGTAGCTACTCTTTCATGCCCTTCCTTCCAAAAGTGACAGTGAATATTCATTCATGCATGATTCATAGCTGTAGGCATACACAATAGGATAAAAATACAGAGAATGTTTAAATTTCAACATATTATAGTAAAAGGTATATTCCCTGTTGCTTCAAACATACTTATTATTCTTTTCCTTTAATAAGTTTTTAAAAATTTAAATACTAACTGTATTTTTCTATCACCCCTTGTATGTTTTTTCTTTAAATTCAGGCTCAAAAACAAAAAAATGAGTAAGATCCCAGACCTGGGTGCTTCCAACAGAATAAAGCTCCTTTGCCAAACACTACGATCCAAGGAGAAAAAAATTAGGGAGGGTCACATTCTTATGTTTTTAAGAGTCAAAAGAGAAGACTTATGTATTTCTCTGTAAGTCAGAACTGTCTGATTTTATTTGAAATTTGTACAATCTTGGATCTTCCATTTTCTAGTAAGGTCCCACTGATTAAATTAGACATGGACCTTTTCTTTTCTATCTCTAGAATAAAAAAAAAATCAATTTTAATCTGCAGAAAACAAACATCTCTCTGTGGTTGTCAGACTTGATTCCTACTTAGCTGAAGCAATATCAGGCACAAAATGTCAGTAACACACCAAAAATGTTTTTCCTCTTGTCTCCAAATGATCCCAGGTAAACTCAACCCAAAGCCTCAGACACACAGCAAGCGAGCACAGGAGGAAGAAAGCACGCCCAGTCCTGACACTGAGGGAGAAAGGCGTGGCTTCCGGGCTTCCTGTCACTGGAGGGTAACTGTCACTGGAGGGTAACTTCCGCAAGCCAGTGACCTTCTGCAGGTAAGACTGCTTGCGGGAACGCGAGCCAACTGCATGAGAAAATCCTTAAAGCAACTGAGAACACCAAACAGGGGATCCCTATTCTCCCAACAGGAAATGTAAGTATCAATGTCTATGAAAGCACCTGGGAAGGCGTCCCATAGGTGCACTTCACCTGGGCCATCCCCCGGGGCACTGACGTGTACACACGAACTCATGGGTGCAATACACATCATCTGACAGAAGACTGGAAATAAGGAGACCATCAGATTCCTGAACAGCCCTAACTCCCTGCCGCCCCCACAAAAACAAGTGAACTGTAACGTATCATAGGAGTAGACATCAAATATTAAAAGAAAATAGAGCTGGATGTCGTGGCACATGCCTGTAATCCCAACACTTGGGAGGCCGAGGGAGAGGATCTGTTGTGAGTTCGTGAGGGCTACACAGTGAGCTCAGTGTCAGCCCAAATTGCATAGAGACCCTGTCTCCAAAAGACAAAAATATTTTACATAAATAAAGAAACAAATACCCAAAGAATTTGTTTATGTCAAGATACAATGTTTAACTCATCAGGGAAAACAGATTAACTTTGATAAAACAGATAAATCGCAGTACTAGAACTTTCCTCATCAGTACCATCAGTCTGTGATTATACACTGAAAAGCGAGAGGGAAACAGCAGGAATTATGCAGAAAGGCAGAGATAAAACTAACTGGACTTTGAAATGTATTATTTTTATGCCAGATTTGTTCTTTAAATCATGTGCTATTTAAATAAGTAACAATTTTATCCCCCCCCAAATGCTTAAAGACAACTGCAGAATAAATAGCCCCAAAAATCATGAGGACAGTTTTTAAAGCCTAAAATATAACAGCAAAGTGACAGCTATACAGGAATAGTGAAGCACAGTGACACGATGCCTACATGAGTACTCAAGATTAAAAACCCCCAAATGTACAATGCAGTTGAAAATGAAGTTCTGAGGGCTGGGGAGATAGCTTGGTGGTCTGTGCCTGCCTGAGAAGCACAAGGACCTGAGTTTGATCTCCAGTGACACATGCTGTGCTGGTCCTGTGCCAAGCCAGCCACCAAAACCAGACATGGTGACGCACCCCTGCAATCCCAGGACTGGGGAGGCTGAGACAAGAGGATCACTACCAATATGAGCTGTATAGTGAGACCCTGCATGAGAGAGAGAGAGAGAGAGAGAGAGAGAGAGAGAGAGAG